CTCAAACATGGGTAACCCTTAAATATAATGTTTATGTAATAAAATCTGTTGGATTAATAAATAAAAATCCAACACTTCTTTAGAAATTGCTTTGTTTACATTAGGACATGAAACAGAGCAAATATGAATGTTTTGAGAGTTTGAGAAATGCATTTATAAGACATTATTCATACTTTACAGTGCAGATAGTGTTATATGATGTGAAGTATAAAGCAAGGAATGGTAGGAAGAGTTGTTCATTGAAGCATTTATCAAATTCTTGAAAGAGAAGCTAGGCAGAAAAAAAATAGTATAAAATGATATTCTAAATTAAAAAGAAAAAAAAACAATATTTTTCCTTTATCTTTTAAACAAAACATTTTTGTTTCTCTTTGATGGTGTGTTATATTGGAAAACATGTATCATCATTCATACATTAACATTTTAAAGTTAATTTTATATTAATACCTTTATATATTCCCCAAATTAGGAGCCAAGTCGCTTTTCTTTTTTAAATGCTGTTCTTCTTATAAACTTTTTGCGTGATATCACAATTTTCCAATTATGAATATTTGATGAACTTCCATTTGATCATTAAATTTTTTTTTTTATCTTTCTAATAAGCAGCAAAATTCTTTGTTCATCAGTTGCCATTTGGAAACAATGTTACAAACAATGGAAAAAGGTCATTTAGGTAAATTTTTTTTGTCTTACAATGATAACATGGAAGCCCTTATTCTAATAATATATATATGACTATCAGTAAACTTTAATTGTAAGATACAAAATCATTCTGGCAGAGTGGCAACAAGATTTGTGGAATGTTGAGTAAGGAGAAGATTTGGCCTCTTCAAAATATTCCACACGTCCAAAAAGGAAAAGAGGAGGAGAAGAGATTACATGCAAGTACAGACATTTTATATTCAAGAACAGTTGAGGTGTTTTGCAAAGGATGTTTCATAACTCACTACTTGATTTGTTGTCTTCTCTTTATACTAAAGATGAAGGCAGAGTATTAAGGCACAAGGTTTCACACGAATATTTAAGAGAAAAATGACAGGCTTCATTTTTAATTGTGTTACTTGCAAAGTTTCATATTTCTAATAACTATGAATGCTTAAAAGCAGAAGTTGATATAGTTTTTAAATGCTGGGTAAATTTAATCTTTCTCCATAAATTATAAGCATTCTTTTTTTTTTTAATCATTTCACTCCAAGTAAGGCAACAAAGCCATTAAGATTCAAGGGATTACTGTGTGTGAGGGAATATCAGAAAAATATACTATTAAGGAGAGAGGGCAATAAAAGAACAAGAATTAAGAAAATAGAGGATAATGATTGACTAATGTTAATCATTATCTTCTATTTAAATTTTTAAAGATCAAAGTTTACTGGGAAGCATGAAGCCAGAACAGTGTTCCACAAGCAAGAAGTGCGAGAGAAAAAACTACTAACATAAAGATTAGTTACACCTAACCATTTCAACTGTAAAATCATAAGCATAAGATCTTGCCAGTTGAGATTTTTTGAATTTCAACCAATTGTGGTACTAGTGGCTCAGTCAATGAATAGCAAAAGTTTTTTTTTTTTTTTTTATGGTAGATTTTTTTTAGATTATGGCAGTGGGAATGTGACTGAAGGCAAGATGCCGGGTTAGGACCATGATCATTGCAGATTCTATGGATTTTAACAATAATCTAGGCACCATAGCGAAGAGATCCTTCGAACAATTATCATGAAAGTATTTATAGAAAAGGCAATGGGAAGCTAGATTATGACCGTGGGAAAGTGACTGAAGGCAAGATGCCAGGTTAGGACTAAGATCATTGCAGATTCTTTGGATTTTAGAAAAAGTTCATCCAAAGAATTACCATGAAAATATTTATAGAAATGGCATCGGGAAGCTACATTTTTTTTGAAAAATTAAATTTTCAAATGATATTATTTTTTTTTTTTACAAAAATTGTTTTCTAATCCAGTTTCTTTGAATGAAGAAAGTTTTTACATAACAGAAAATAGAGTAAAAACAGGAAAATTTCTTAATGACTCCTTTTACTGCTTCAACTCAGACTGTTACGTGGACTAACTATTTGATATGCTGTCTTTTATTTATACATGGCATGCAGACATCATATAGAACACAAGAATACATAGAAATATTTAACAAAAAATGCTCAAGTCTATTAGAATGTGTTATTTGAAGGGTATAAAATTTCTAATAACTTAATAACTATACATTATTAAAGCCTGAATCATTACAGATTAATAATCCAATATATGCTTTAAAAAGACTGTGTAATTTTTATCTTTCTCCATAAAATATATATATATATATATATTATAATTCTGCTTGTCCCTTCCTTTGACAGTCTTGAGCATGACGATAAGCTACATCTGGCAGCAGCAAGGCCTCTGATCATGAGATTGGAGGTTTTGAGGTGTGTGGAACCAACTCTTAATTGCTGTTGTTCCCAGGTACACCCTGATCTGAAGTGGTAGCACCTGTTAGGGTCCCAGCTATGGGCAAATATTGGACCACCAAACAAAAACAAAATACATTTTTATAGTAAAAATACCAGCAATATACTTTTTATAAAAAAAAATTACCAACAAAACATCAATCAACATGAAAGAACATTCATGATATTAACCCATATAATATTCTATGATTCCTCAAAGAAATCAAACTATTCCAAAATATAACTTAAACAAAACTACAACATAAAACATACATATTATAGCTTCTAGTAATCATGGCCACACAAACAGGTATATGCACAAAAGCTGAGTATCATCTACCATGTATTCAATTGTGAAAACACAACAACATATATCATATTTTTATTACTTCAAAGCTCCCAAGAAAATAAAATTTTGGCATTAAATAACCTATAAAGATTTGACATTCCATTAAACAAATTAAAAATCAGTCACCCCTCCCCTTCATTAGTTTGCACGACCCTTGTTCCCTGCAAAACAGAATAGTCAACTATTTATGAGGTATTGACCCCATAAATAGTAGACTATTCTGTTTTGACCGTGTTAAAACACAAAACTGGCATATCATAGACACTACTTGGTTTCAGCAAGAAATAAAAAAGATAAAAGCGTTTAACCTTAAACACTCTTTAGGTGACTTCAGTCACCAAGGAAAGCATCTGTCCTGTCATTGCAGTTGACTCCAATCATCAAATAACAGTATATTTAAATTTGATGATTGTGTTGTCACATCCTACTATAGTAACAGGAAAAAAAAATACAGCCTTGTCTTAAATCGAGATCAAGGCTACTTCAATTTACATTTGAGGAGCCACCATATACAATGGAAGTAAGAGTAACACTTATGAATAATGTCAATTTCATCCGAGTTTGGAATAGTGAAACATCTGTTTCAGTGAAATGGAAAAAGTTGTAAATTTCAAATTTTTTCAGTTGTACACCTTAACTTAGAAATAACCTTATCAATAAAAATGTTTGCAAGACAGATTTTTGGCTAATTAAATATTAACTCAGTATCCACTTAGTAGGGATATTGCATTTTATTAATAATTTTCAACAAAAAGAGACTTTTATTTAGCCTGAAACTGATTAATTGAATGTTCTAATAATGTGTCTGCTATAATTTGTTCATTTTACCAAATCTTAATTGATAAAAATTAATGTATTAAAATATCCTAATTAACACAATGGATAATTCTGGAATAATTGATATAGATCTTAAAAGTTTTTCTTCACAAATAATACAAGTTAGAAATCTTTAATACAGTGGATTAAAAAACAAGCAACTACTGATTTAAGATTCACTCATGACTACAATCATGTCTGATAAATTTCATCCGAGTTTGGAATAGTGAAAATCTGATCAAATTCCATGAACATTTTACCATTCAAGCATGAATACATTTCTCCTCTCCCCACCCATCCAGGGGTGAAATAGAAGGTTAGATTGTCATCAGTCACAGAAAACATTATGGAGTTCATGATTAACTTCACTGCAGAATAGTGGACTCTCTGATCTTGACTGAAATTGATAAGGTCAGTCGATAGGTAATTATTCAATGGGTTTGCTAAAGAAAGTGTATATTTGATAAATTTGTAGTTCTTTGATTCTCAGGACTGAGTTCTGTTCTTAATTTCTGCAAAGTAATGAATTACTAGCTCTTGCTAATTCTCAAGTCTGTACGTAGAGCTATGCCAGGGCGGCCATAAGCAAGTGTCAAATTACAGCAAACAGCTAGTGCAAGAAATATTTATTCTAATCCTATTCATAGCCACAGTCAATATTTCCTAATAAAAACCCTCACTACAAACAGACCCCAAGTCCATTCAAAGGTATCACCATTAGACATAATTATTACTGAGTGAACATATTAAAACCCTTCCTTGCAAGAAGTGCCTCTGACCCTCCCGCCAGCATTCTAAGTGGCCCAAGTTTTCCAATCAATTGCATGAAGCTCTATTAACAGCAGCCCCACGGGTAAATTGGATGCAGTCACTAATAGACATTTCTTTCATTCAATTCCACTTAGTGCTGGGGAAGCTATCTGTAGTTACCCATCACTGTGTTCCTGCCAGCATTTAGTACAATTAATTGAATCACCTAATGCCCAAAGGGTTGGTGGGGATGATTCAGGTGCATCTAAATGCAAATAAATAAGGCAGGGAGATGAACAAACAAAAGTAATAATAATAATAATAATAATCTCAGTAATAATAATAATAATAATAATAATAATATCTGGTGGATAAATTGAAATAAAGACAATAATTAGAAATAAAAATGGTAGCAGTAGAAGGGGGAGTTGTATTCAAATGGCAGGAAAGAAGAGAATGCTAATAATGAAGAAGTTGAAAGCTTTTTAAATTTAAAAAACTGAAGTTCTCAAGTGTAAATTGCTTAAGAAAAATATGAAAAGAAAGAGAATGAATGAATTTCAATAAATGAAGAAAATGGGAAGGAAAAAAAAAAAGAAAAATGAGAAAAATAAAAACAGCAACAAAGTTTGGTAGAACAAAAATGCA